GGCGCCTTAGCCGGTTGAGCTATAGGCGCCGAGCCCCCATCTCTATTAATAATAGAAAAAGTATAGCTGGGTGAAGTGGTGGGCACCTATAGTTCCAGCTACTCGGGAGGCTGAGGCAAGAAGATCACCTAAGCCCAGGAGTTGAAGGTTACTGTGAGCTGTGATGCCACAGCACTCTATACCAAGGGCAATAAAGTGAGATTCTTTCTCTAAGAAAAATAAAATAAAAATAGAAAAAGTAGCCAGGCGTTGTGGCAGGTGCCTGTAGTCCTAGCTACTCTGGTGGCTGAGGCAGACAGAGTCTCCCTTTGTCACCCTAGGTAGAGTACTGTGGCACATCATAGGTCACAGCAACTTCAGACCTTTGGCTCAAGCAATCCTCTCACCTCAGGCTTATAAGTAGCTGGGACTACAGGCATGCCCCACTATGTCCAGCCTAGTTTTGTTATTTGTTTTTAGTAGAGTTGAGATTTCACTCTTGCTGGGACTGGGGAGAGAGTTTAGGTATGAGCACATTGCAGTTTTCTGCAGAAAAGCAGCCTTACAAAACTTTTTGGTTTTGCTCTCATGATCTGAATTTCTAGTATATGTGTCTATAAATGTCTGGTAAAATGGTTTCTATTTTTATTTTTTCATGAGGAATCCAGTTTCATTGTCTATAATTGCTGTGTCCAGTGCATGGTTATAATGTTAGGTTGGGTTTAGTGGCTCACACATGTAATGCTAGCACTTTAGGAGGTCAAGGCTGAGGGAGGATCACTTGAGCCCAGAAGTTTGAGGTTACAGTGAGCTGTGACGAGGGCACCAAAGTGAGACCATATCTCAAAAAAAAAAAAAAAAAAAAAAAGAACCCTTAATATTGAAAGTAAGAGACATAGACTTCTGTTGTGTAGTAGCTACTCTAAGAGATTTTTTTCTGAAGTATTTTTTTTTAGCAGAACACAAAATATAATAGAATTGAAAACAAATGGATAATTTTAGAAATTAATAGACAAAGACTGAAAAGCCTGTATCTTTCAAGAGAAGTAAATTTTTTAGGTGATAAATGTGAAGGAAGTGGGAGTTTTATAAAGTGGTGTATGTTAAATAATTGATCACATTGTATTTACTATATGCCGAGTGGAGCCTCTTAGCACATTTCTCTCATTTAATCAGTATTGCAGCCCTGTGAAATGGGCACTATTATCATCTCCATTTTATATATGCAGAAATTTTATTGTAGTGGAATATGTTGCCTCAGATCACACACAAAGCTTAGCACAAGGCAGGGCCTGGCATGGTGGTTCATGCTTGCAGTCCAAGCACTTTGGGAGGCTGAGGTGGGAGAATTGGATAAAGCCAGGAGTTTGGGACCAGCCTGTACATGAGCAAGGCCCTGTCTTTACTTAAAAAAAAGAAAGAAAGAAAGAAAGAAAATTACCCAAGTATGGTAGCACAGGCCTGTAGGCTCAGGTACTCTAGAGGCGGGGGCAGGAGGATCACTTGAGCCTAGGAGCTTGAGGTTCAGTGAGCTATGATGACACTCCTATACTCTAGCTAGGGCAACAGAGCAAGACCCTGTCTTCAACAAAAGAAAAAAACGCTTAGTGTGAGGCATGAGTCAGGATTTGGATACTTATAACCTATTTGTAGACTTTTAACCACTAGGACAACCTGTGGGTTGCAATCCCTTTGTAACAATGAAAATACATCCTGCATATCAGATATTTACATTTCGATTCATAACAGTAACAAAATTATAGTTAAAAAGTAGCAACAAAAATTAATTTTATGGTTTGGGTTACCACAACATGAGGAACTATATTAAAGGGTTGCGGCATTAGGAAGGTTGAGAACCACTGCACTAGGTTCTTGAGTTTGAGGGAAAGCCAAACTCATTAGCCTTGATTGTTAATTCCTTTTCAGATGGCAACTCTTGGGGAAGCTCGCCTAAGGGAAATGGAAGCCTTGCAGTCTCTCAGACTCGCCAATGAAGGAAAATTGTTGTCGCCTGTCCAAGATACAGAGATAAAAGTCTGTCTGTGTCAGAAGGCCCCAGCTGCCCCTATGATCCAGTGTGAACTCTGCAGGGATGCTTTCCATACCAGCTGTGTGGCAGTACCCAGTATTTTGCAAGGCCCCCGAATCTGGCTTTGTCCCCATTGTCGGAGGTCAGAGAAACCTCCATTAGAGAAAATTCTGCCCCTGCTGGCCTCCCTGCAACGGATCCGAGTTCGCCTTCCTGAGGGAGATGCACTTCGATATATGATTGAAAGAACCGTGAACTGGCAGCACAGAGTTCAGCAGCTGCTTTCATCAGGGAATCTGAAATTTGCGCAAGATCGAGTGGGCTCAGGACTATTACATAGCAGATGGCAAGCTTCAGCAGGACAGGTGTCAGAGACAAACAAGGTGAATCTGAACTTTTCCTGGATTATTGAGATTTGCAAAGCTCTGTACTTTTCTCCTAAATCTGTACCTCTGGTGATAACCAGCACTCATAGTTTCCCACTTCAAAGTTCATGCATATCCACTGTGTTCTCTGCTACTGATAGTTAAGAATTGTTTCTTAGGCTGGTCATGGTAGCTCACGCCTGTAATCCTAGCATTGTGGGAAGCCAAGGAGGATAGATCACTTAAGGTCAGGCATTCAAGACCAGCCCAAGCAAGAGCAAGACCCCTTCTCTACTAAAAATAAAACAATTAGGCTGGGTGCAGTGGCTTACACCTGTAATCCTAGTACTGTGGGAGGCCGAGGTAGATGGATTACCTGAGCAAATGGGTTTAAGACCAGCCTGAGCAAAAGCAGAATCCTGTCTCTATTAAAGATAGAAAAAAGGGGGTGGCGCCTGTGGCTCAAAGGAGTAGGGCAGCAGTCCCATATGCTGGAGGTGTTGAGTACAAACCCAGCCCTGGCCAAAAACTGCAAAAAATAGAAAAAAAGCTCAGTGCCCATAGTTCAGTGAGTAGGGTACCAACCACATACACCAAAGCTGGTGGATTTGAGCCCAGCCTGGGCCTGCTAAAAAAACAATGGCAACTGTAACCAAAAAGTAGCCAGACGTTGTGGTGGGCACCTATAGTCCCTGCTGCTCAGGAGGCTGCGGCAAGAGAATCACTTAAGCCTAAGAGTTTGAAGTTGCTGTGAGCTGTGACACCACAGCACTCTATTGAGGGCAACATAATAAGACTCTGTCTCAAAAAAATAAAAAAGCAAGAGGCTCTTTGGAACCCCAAGAGTTGGAGGTTTTTGTGAGTATGATGCCACAGCACTCTACCCAGGGCAACAACTTCAGACTTGTGTCTCAAAAAAAAAAAAAATGAATAAAAATAAAAATACTAGCTGGGCCATCTACTCAGGTAGCTGAGACAGGATGATAGCTTGAACCCAGGAGTTTGCTGTGAGCTAGGTGACGGCCATGACACTCTGTCTCAAAACAAAACAATTGTTTTTAGCTACTCTTCCTATGGAACATGTTTATCTTTTCACATGTACAATTTTTTTATGTTTATGTTAACCCATATATATTTAACATATGCATATATATATTTTAAAAATTTTGCTTGACTAAAAGATTTTCCCCTTCTTGTCTTCATGTAAGTCACTTAGGAGAAAGGAAAAGCGTTTCTTGCCTCTGTGTTTTTTTCTCCTTTTAGGAAGAGTTTTTGAACGTGTTTGAGCACTGTGTTGCTTCAGAGGAAAGGCTATGAATTTCATGCCATTTGTAATTTTTCTGCCTAAAGGTTGATTCTTTTCACCATCACTGAGATGGACAGAGTTTTCTCTCTTCTTCCAGTGAGAAAGAATGACTGCAGCAAAAGAATGTGAAAACATTGGAACTTACAGTCGAGCGCACTATTCAATTTTTTAATAATTTTTTAATCTGATGATTTTCAGATACATTTTTCTCTACCAGAGATACCACAACTCTCTTGTGCCATGTGAACACAGACACATTAAGTAATGAATCAAATTATTGATAAGGTCAGAGATAAGGGCAAAAGAAAAGGTCTCTGTCCTATTTGTTTTCCTGGGTTTTTTTGATTGTTTCCAGGCTTCTGAAATCTAGTACCTGACACATAGCAGATGATCAATTAAGTGTTTGTTTTTTGAGAAGGTTTTTGGTTTTGTTTTTTGTTTTTCATTTTTTTTTGCAGTTTTTGGCCGGAGTTTGAACCCGCCACCTCTGGCATATGGGGCCGCCACCCTGCTCCTTTGAGCCACAGGCACTGCCCCTAAGTGTTGTATAGAGATGAGTTGAGGCTACTTAGGTAGCCCTCAGTAGAGTTATTTGTATTCTTTACCCAGGATGTGCTGGGAGTATGTCTTTATTTATTATTATTATTATTTTTTTTTTTGAAGAGACAGAGTCTTACTTTGTCGCCCTCAGTGGAGTGCTGTGGTGTCACAGCTGACAGCAACCTCTAGCTCTAGAGCTTAGGCAATTCTTGCCTCAGCCTCTCAAGTAGCTGGGACTACAGGCTCCTGACACAACGCCCAGCTATTTTTTTGTTGCAGTTTGGCCAGGGCCAGGT